GCCAACGATCTGAGTTTAAGAACCAAAACATTTCTCTAGGGTGATATTCCACAAGTGCCTTTCATCTTCACTGTAGCTGCAGGTTCCCTATCACGATGTACACCACAGGCAGACTCCTGCTATACAAAGTACAGGTATGTTAGAGAAAAGAGCTATTGCCATTAGCTTGGGCTGTTGCTGCAGTGGAAAAATGCTGGTTTGTTGCTGGTTTTTTTGGTTTTGTTTTTTTGTTTTTTGTTTTTTTTTTTTCTTGGAGGCATCTTTCATGGCATTGCTGAGGCAATAAGTAAATCGGATATTCTAAAGCCTGCAGAAGAGTGTAATAAAGCAGTATTTCTGGGCTAGTCAGTATGAGAACGTGTGCAGGTCTCAGGAGAATAATGATTACAAAAGCACCCAGCACAGACCTTTGTTTCACTCTGCTCCTGTCTCCTTGCAGAATGCCGGTCTGTACACGGTGACCACCACACCCCTGAACTGTGGTCCCCAGCTGCGGACGCTGCTCCATCGCCCAGCCAATGAGAAGTTGCTCTTGCTGCTCCCTGTGGGCTATCCCAAGAAAGATGCCACTGTGCCTGCACTGACTCGAAAGCCATTAGAAGACATCATGGTGGTCATGTGAACCCAGGGCCATGAAGAGAGAGCACAACTTACTGCCTGCTAGGAAGCGGCAGCGCATTGAAGTTGTTGATGCTTTTCCTGTGTATTACTGCTGCTCTGGCTGTTTACACTCATGCACCTTTTAGTGCTAGTAACCACGGTACCTGCTTCTACTAACAGCAGCAAGTAGTCATGCATGGTGCATTTAACAGGTACTATTACCAATGAACCTGAGCAGTTGTTCCAAGAGACAAGTACAGTAACATTCAAATGACCTTCATCACTTTATTTTTCTTATGCATTGTAGGGACTGATCTTTCCTTGAACAATAACACATATTTTCCTTATACTTTTGTGATTACCACTGAACAGTTGTTTTTACTTCATAACTTTAATGGAGGTTGTATGTCACAGAATCATAGTACCATTAAGGGTGGAAAAGACCTCCAAGGTTATCTAGTCTAATTGTACACCTACCACCAATATTTCCCCATTAACCATGTCCCTCAGTACAACATCTAAACATTTGACAGAATCACAGGTTTGGAAAGGACCTCAAGGATCATGAATCTCCAACCCCCCTGCCACATGCAGGGCCACCAACCTCCACATTCAATACTAGACCAGGCTGCCCAGGGCCACATCCACCCTGGCCTTGAACACCTCCAGGGACGGGGGACAGGGCATCCATAGCCTCTCTGGGCAGCCTGTTCCAGTGCCTGACTACTCCTGGACCTGAACCTCTCCTGGCACAGGCACTGTGCCAGGAATAAACTGCCCCATAGTAAAATAAAAATAAAAAAAAAAGATTCTTGTGATGGCATCAGCTTCCTAGCCACTTGTTTATGAGATAGGTTTCCCTCATTCTCTCAGTATCCCTTGCTTGCCATTGAAGGGCTAGTGGAAAATACCACCTGTACTCCTGTTGCATCAACTAACTGCCCTAATGCCCTGAAGTCCCTTTTGATAGCCTTCAAACTTCTCTCAGCAACTTCATAACTTCCAGCCTGAACTATAACTAAAGGTTTATAATCAGAGGGTTGAACTGGACCATGAAGTTTTTTAGTAATGCCTCTGCCCTGGGCCCCAGGAAGGCAGCACACTTTGCTATAGATAAGGGGCCCTCTGCTCCCCTCAGGAGGGAGTAGCCTACTACAGTTACCCTTCTTTCCTTCTTGGAAGAAGCCATTCTGAGACATGGAGTTGACTGCCTCACTCTAGACAACCTCCTTGGTGGGTCTCCCACCACATTCTCACTCACTTTTCCCTCAAATTCCAGAGCCTCAAACCTGTTGTGTAGTTTCTCAAACCTGGGAAACGAGGTAGGTAGGCATGGGATTTGCCTGCAACACTGAGCTGAGACCTGTTTCCATTCCTTCTCATCTCTTAGGTCCCCTCCTTTTGCCTGACAGCAACAGAAGGATCCACCACTGTTTGAGGGGAATCACCCCAGTTCCTTTCTCACATGTATAGCAGGGAGTCAGTCCACCAGCCTATATCCTGCTCACACTCCTTGATGCTCCTTAACTTCTCCACTTCTCCCTTGAGCTCTGCCACCGTCCTGAGCACATCACCCACTTCCCGCATCTCACATAGGCAGAATGTTTGCCGCCCTCCACCGGCAGCAACAAGCTCAAGCACTGCCTTCAACCAGAGAACAGAAATCCCACATTCTTTTTGGCAAGAGCTTTTTGTCTAGTGAAGTCCATGGCTAAATTTGTAGTTTGGGAGGCAGCCGACCATCCCTGCGCATACTGCCGGTTGCACTCCATGGGACCGCCAATGTACGCCGGGGGGTTTGCCTGCTGTCACTCCGCCCACCGCATCAGCGGGTCCTCTCCTTAAGCGCCCCGTCCCCTTTACCGTGATCGGATTTGTACTGGAGGAAGGCGTATTTCCCATGTACTTTTCTCTGCTTAGTGGTAGCAGTAGTGAGATAGTGTTAAGCTATCCCAGCTTAACACTGCAACTTTTACAGGCTCTCACACGTGAAAGGTGCTTTCCCATCACACCAAACAAGGCGTATTTCAGTCTGTTTAAAGGCCGTTTCTCCCCCCAGCAGCGTTGCCTGTCGAGGGTCCCAAACCTGGAGGCACTTTTGGAGAAGCGCCATTCGCAGGTCTCACAGCTGGTGTCGCCAGTGCCTGTGCAGGCAGCGCCCCCTGGCGGCGCTCCGAATTGTGGTGGAGGCGGCTCCTGAGCCCGCAGCCTGGCATGCGAGCAGTCCAGGTCCAAGAAGTGCTGCTAGCTAAGCAAGCGGAGGTGGTAATTTACAGACGTACCGCTCTTGGTGGTATCAGTGTCTCTCTTTCACTGTCGCGAAAAACTGTTTTCCTCTTTGGCAGACTGTTTAGCTGGCTTCACAGCTGTGTATTCAGCTATTTTACTGGTCCCATTTCCCAAAGTGTTGCGCATGTTTTTGGTAGCATGGTCCCAGCCTGAAATGAACTTTTACAACCACAGTAACATCAAAATTCTTCAAACTTCCTGCATTTTCAGCCCAAATTCAATTGATTTTGACAAAACTAGAATTTGAAGTAAAAAATTGTAAAACAAACAAACAAACAACCCTACAATTTGGATTTGAATTGCTTCCTTATAGAAGCTGGCCTTACTGAGTCTAAAAGCTGGTCAAGGACACCACAATGTCACTGGTGAGCAGAGGTAAGTCCAGGCAGATCGGCTGCAGGTTCCCAGGTATAAGGAACACACATCACAGTTGGGATAACAACTCATCCTTCTGTACAGAAGCACCTCTGCCCTATCAGGCCCCCTCAAAAAGCACTTTTCATCTGCTACAAAAGTAAATATGCCCTATTTTTTCTTTTTAACTCAGAGCTCACGTTGATACTGGGCTGAACCTTTGTCACTCTATGTTATCTTCTATAGCTTAGAAATAAAGTGCTTCTGCCTGGCCCAATTTGCAAAAGAGATTGTATTTGAGTGTGTTTATTCCACGAGAGTTCTCAGAGAATTTTTATCGGATTAGTTCAGTTTAAACCAACATGAGCTTGCATACCTAAGTCATTTTGTTGCATATATAAGACTATTGTATTATGGCTTTTTAATTAAGACACGAAGAACCAAGCCACATTAAAATATGCCCATTATTGTCATGGTAATAAATACTGCTAAAACAACATACCTATGTATACTGAGAAAGATACTTTATTTTGTTTTGTTCTGCTTTTTTGTTTGTTTGTTTGTTTGTTTTCTTCCATAAGTTGATGATGGAAACTGATAGACACATATTGGCTGAAGAAAACAAACTTACACGCTGCAGCAGAAATGCTAAGTCGGCCTGAAACAGTGATTGAGCACCTGGTGGGAGGGCAGGGCTAACTCTAGGGAACTCAGGTGCATACAGTGGCTCCACCTCTTCCCAGATCTCATTTAAGGGTTGACAGTGGAGGTAAAGGTATTTTTCTGGAGATCCCTGCCTGCCCTGGGCCTTTCAACTGTAAGTAGATTTTTTTCCCCCCCATTGTTTCTCTGCCTATGGTTCCTGTGTTTGAGCACATTGAGCTTGCTGTAGCCTAGGACTTTGCTATTTATCTATCGTTACTGTGTTTTCCATCATGTTACAGCATTGTACCTGTCTGCTGCGTGAGGAAGATTCTACCCCAGCAAAGCACTTCTGATGTAATGATAAACATGTGTAAAAAACATCTTTTTCATAGAAAAGTCTATTGAAATGCAAGTATCCTAGCAGCATTATACCTGCTGATGATAATGATGATGTAGAGTCTCTTCCAAATTATGCAGCTGCTGCTGTTCTGCAAGCCTACTTGGTATGATTTTACTCTAGGCTGCAGCATTTTGAACTTTTAAACAAGTAGATGTGAAGACAGTATGTAGCTAATTCGCTTTTTAAATTGCTATGTAGATCTTTACAGAGTCCTGAAAAAATCAATCTTTTGGAAGTGGTAGTGTCTGGGCACTCCAAGGCAAGACACATGGTACCTCAGTGCTAGGTACTAATATGACATGCATTTATGGCACTAGTCCCTTGCTCTCTGCAAAATGTTCATAAGAAATAAAATGTAAAAGCTAATTCTGACAGCATTTACAAATGTTGAGAACATTTATTCCAGAAGGGCTGAGGCTTGATTTCATGTTGCTGTTACTAATCAGTTCTCCATAGACTTCATTAGGAAGAGATTGGCTACTGTATGGTTTTTGAAGTTTTCCACCCACCTGAGCTTAGTCATCTGCTCAGCTTTTGCAGAACAGAGACTGTCATTAATGACACATAACTCTCATGGCATTTTGCTGTTTCTTTGGTTAACATGACCTGTCTATTTCCATCCAAGTGATCACTAACCTGTTTATTGAGCCTTTGCCCCCTATAAATGAGACTTTCTTGTGTTTGTGGAGTGTAAATGATAAAGAGAACACTTACATGAAAACAGTCCTTTAAAATATAAGTTGGAAGAGAGTAGCTGAAACTTAAATCATCATTGCAATAAGTTACCAGCTAAAAAAATTGCATTCAGTTGTGGTGCAGGCATGGGGGAATATACTTCTAAGCTTGGCTACCAAGCTGGAGCTGCATTGAATGTGTTGTGGTAGAAACACAGACAACAAAGGTAGTCCAAGATGCAGGTAACAAAACCTAAGTCACAGAAAGCAATACAGATCATCAAGACAGGCAATGACCAGGGCCTTAAGAAGTGGTTACCAAGTCTTTTGTCTCATAGCAGCATATGAGGAAATATTTGAGGGTTTTTCTAAGAGAAATATGAAGTACTTGGAGTTACTTAGGAGAGGCTGCCCAGAGATTAAGTTCTTCTCTCTGATCTGAGGGTAAGATGACCACAAAGGTCATTAGTGACTCAGCTTAAAAGAATCAGACAAAACTCACACAATTTTGAGCTAGAAAGTGACTGTATTGGTTAAGTTGTCCTGAGAAATACTTCTTGCAAATATTCAAGTTCAAAATTTGTATATTGAGAGTAAGTTACATGAAAGCAGGAGCAGAGTGATCATAATACAGATATGCTTTAAATGGAAGATCTGGTCTAACAGCGCAACTTATTTTCTGTTAGATATGCAGCAGTGACATTGGTCTGTAGTTAACTTGCTGGATTTTAACGATGCTTTTGTGTATGACTTATGATGTGTATGTACTCTAAATAGTCCGAATGTGTGACAAAGCTTTTTATGGTTTTACAAAATTTCCTCACAGCAACAGTCCATGGGACCAAGGGCAAGGTACCAACCTTTGGTAAAGTGAAATGCTCTCACTACCAGCTTGCTGTGAGCCACATGCATACAAAAGCTGTATTACTGTGTGGAAGGAATAACTTTAAAAAGGTTGCACTGCTGTCCAGTAACAAATAATTATGAGATGTGAACTAAGTCTCTTGCTACAACTGTTCCCAATTATGAGAGTTAATCATAGTCTCCTGATTTCATGTAAGCAGCATGCTGAGTTTTCATCTGAACTACTTCTACAATGTGGTGACGTAGCAGGATAATTTTAGAAAGACAACTATAAATTGGCAGCCAGAGTAAAAAAAAGAGGTGGAATAAATACTGAATTCCA